GTTAGAAACCATTCTCTTTCCTTAAGTTTTTTTTTTCAAACCAGTTTTTCTGAAAACCCCTTGTGTACAATATAAATCTTGTATAAATCATTATAGAAATAAAATCTCAATCTTTTGATATCAGAAAGATATGAGTTTCTAAACTTACTATCCCATAGATTCTTGATAGATTGAAGAAGATAATCTCTTTCTTACTTTAACAAAGAGAGAATTTTCTTTGCTTAAGATCTTTATTCTTAATTCTAAGAAAAGATACAGTGAGGGCAAGAAGCTGAAATAGCAGAATTCCCATTGAGGCAAGAGGCCGTTTAAGGGAGCAGTTTGCAGATTCAGAGCCTGAAGGTCACTCGGTTCTAAGAATACAGATTTAAGATCAAAAGTAAGGTAAAATTATTGTCTTTGTTAAATTTAGAAAGAATTCTTCTAATATCTTGAAAGAATTGTAGGGATTATTATTGTTCATGTTTGCAAAAAACTTATCTAAATATGTTATTATTCATAAAGTTTGCAAGGAATTATTTGAATAATGCCAGGTTATACAATTAAAGGATTAGATAATCTGTTAGATAGATTAATGGAAAAAATAGAAAATATTTATTCTCAATTAGAGATTATGGATATATTATCGAAGGAATTTGATAATCTTAGTAAATTACATGACAATTATATTACAGATTATGCTAATTTATTAGATCAAAGGATGAAATTATATATTAAAACTCGAAATGAGAGAAATAGAGGAATTTAAAACTATCCCAATAAATTAAGGATATCTTGTGCAATATATGATAAATTATTTCATTAAGGGTATAATAGACATTTTATTAAAAATGAATAGTAGCTGGTCATTTATAATAATACCCCTTTATGTAAGCTGGTAAACACAGATCTCATCACGTCATTGGATTAAAATAATTATAATATTTTTCATACAAGTTATTAAATCATTTTGACATGACCTTTTAAAAAGTCAAAAATCACTTCTAAAACGAAATTTAAATAATTTTTTGAAGAATAATGTTATTCAAAATGAAAACTATCAATGATCACCCTACGTGACATACATGTAACAATTTGTTATTTAATGTATTTGATATAATCACTTTTTATTGTCTTATGCATCAAATAACAAATGGACACATAGAACAACTATCGATACTATAAACAGCTTAACTCTTTTTTGAAAGTTTTGTCCAATAGGAAGAGTTCTAAAATGACTACCTTACAAAGCTTTATACAATAAGCAAAAACAGCCACCTTGTCAAACGAGCCCAAATCACAGCAAGGTTTGGAAGTGAGAAGCAATGTTCGAGAAGTACTCACCATGGTTTTTGCTCTCTACCATGACACATTATTCTATTGACTTTAGCCCATCAATTCCATCCAGACCCGTTAAAAGCACGGTGCTGGGCACGGCCATGGTTAAAAATCTACAACATTAAATTAGCCCGTTCACCTTGCAAGGGGCCTATGACCGGAGGCCGACCTGAAAAATGTGATGCTCAGTCTAGTCTGGGGCGCCAGAGGCCTGTATAACAGAGGGCATCATTCACCAACATACATTGATCCAACCATAAATTACAAACACAAGCTTTGATTCAACAAATATCAATGATCTGAAAGCTATACAATGAACATCCAAGAACCAAAGAATATATTTTGTTTTACTACAAACCAAGACAAGTGCTTTTCAACTATACAGGTCAGAAAATTAAAATTATCAACTCTATGGTGTTTGCATCATTCTGACAAGCACGAGGGAGGGCGCTCCCTGACTCTTGAGCCCCGATGATCCAGGATATGATGTCCAGTAAGTGGAATTTATCTGAAACCTTTATTTTGAGATAATTATCTATGTTCAGCTATGCAACTCAAAGTCTGATTAGCGCCAATACTGAGCCCAACGATGAATGGTTTCCACCATTTGTGGGAATAATGCGCTGACACTCTCGTTGATAAGATCCTGGAAAAAATGTATTGACTCCTCGTCGTCCAAGTCCAAGCGGAACTTCTCTTGAAGCTATAGAAGGAAAGTTGGGTCACGGGATAAAAATAAGCAAATTATGGCTTAAAATGGAATTAGACAAGTAATTATAATGAGAAATCACCTTAAGAATGCCCTTTTCCGGATCAGAAGCTATATCGGGAATGTTGGACCCCGCCATCAAATGAAACAGATTTAGTACTAGGTTGCTCGATTTCCTGAGGATGTTGTAAGCTTCACAACAGTATGATTTGAACCGCGTGTAGTATTGACTGCAAGAGAAAACAGAAGAAAAAGGAAACATTATGTCTGCCATGCTACCAGCCACGTCATGCATATTTACCCCCCACAACACTAGTACAGTTAATTAACAATGAAATCTCTGTTTCTGCTTACTTTTGATTTTCCTCATTTATTCTTTTTCGATTAGCTCATATATGAAGCACGGCAGGAGCTCGTGCAACATTTTGCAGACAAGTGCTTGAAACAAAACTCAGATGCAGAACCTAATAGCTTAGATTTAAGTCAAGTACCTTTCTGCTCCGCCCATAGCTTCAACCATTTCTTTGCAAAGCTTCATAGGTGGTGGAAAGGGTTTAGGATCTCGACCGAGAATAAAACCAAAATCAACGTGGAAAAGACGGCCATCATCCTGGAGCAGCAAATTATCCAGGTGCCTATGGAAGATAAATAGCATAAGAGCTCGATTTTGAAACACATTAAAGATTCACATGGTGCAGTTCAGCAGTGATGTTAATTTCAGGTCAAGTAGGCATTCTTCTATTGCAAAACAGCTTTATCACACAGTAGATATAAAAGTAAATGACGACAAACATTATACCCCAACCCCAAGGACAAAACAAAAATGATAGCTAATGCTATTAAAGAAAATAAAAGCAAGGAAAAAATTAGAGGGGCAGCCATTTCCGTGCAGATCAGCATACTAGGGATCACCTGTCACCAATGCCCAGTATATATGTGATAACAGAGTAGCCAGCACAACTTTTAATGAATGTTTCGAGACAAGTGGCAGTAATCCCGAAAGGTCCATCTTCATCAGGATGAAATTTCTGCAGGTAGCTTGTAATACTGCGATGTTCTGAGAGAATCTGAAAGTGAAAAGGAGCAATTTGGAATTGAAATGAAGAAACTGCAAGATGGTGCATGCACTCATTAAATATACGGGACTCTAAAGAACAATGGTAAATTAGAAATGAACAGAAGTCAAATATAAGCAGTAATACATCTACCATAGCCACAGGGTCAATAGATAGGATAAATTACCTGAGCTAAAGATTTTGACGGTATGAATTCCAGCATGCCTTCATCATGTCCAGTTGCTAACACTCTGTATGGAGTTAAATGCAGATCGAGATTCTCCAACTTAAGCAATCGATCCATTAGTGACACCATTTGAATAACCTGATATTATCAAGTTATATTTACATAAATGAAAGAATTATTAATTAAATCAAGTGGGTAATAAATATCTGGAATCTACCAACTGGTCTTGCCGAAGATCATCTCCCTTTTTAAATATGATCTTGCAACTTCCACCACTTGCAGTTCGGAAAGCCAGACGCAAGGGATGCAACGCACTTTTAAAAATCGATGACTCTGATGGTATGATCCCTGTTATAAGGACTCCAGGTGCTAGAGGGGAGCGAATTGGCTGAAAATGTAGATTAACTCGCTTAAATTTCTCAAAATGATAAGGGGATAGGAATGCTTATTTGTAGTCATAAAAATAAAGACGCTAGTACGTGAGACATGTCTTCATTTCTAGTCACATATCTTGCATTTTACACTAGCCAACAAAAGTGGAGACAAGCAATGCATAAATAATCTTGCAATTACCTCATCGAAGTAGGTGAGTTCACTAAGAAGCCCCGAAAGAAGATGCCTAAGCTTTTCAATCTTCTTCTGAGTTCCACCTCTCACATTTCTTACGTCTCTCATTATAGAACACAACTGTGCAGTCAATTCTTTTTGACGCTCCAAACTCTGCCATAACTTAAATCCCGCTTCATCACCATTAGAACCAGCACCCAACTGTGGAAATGCAAACCCAATAAGCAGACTTCTTTGGAGTTACGAAAAAAGTAAGATAAACAAGATACATGTTCATGTGAATTGGTATTAGTTGCATTATTTTGTTAAAGAAACAGCAGTTGCCATCCAGTATATACAAAACATTCATTAGAGACAATATTTTCTCTCAAACTTGATCACTCCATAACATCCAATATGTTTGAGCAGGAAAAAAATTATTTCCTCATTCATGAGGGTTTTATTACGAGAGGGAAAAAATTGAAGTCCACTAGCTAGAGTTTAGATTTATCATAAATAAAAGGAACGGTAGTGGACATGTATTATCCGCATATGAAAAAGTAGACGGCATTTAAAGGGTTTCATTATATCTTGAAAGTGTATATGGCATGTTTGCTAAGCACTGGGCAATATCAAGAAAAAAAGTCGATAAAAATTTGTTTAATATAGTGTCTAGTCCTCTCCAATCAGGGTTGGCCCTGATCTTTTGGGGGGCTTTATGCCAACTTAAAAAATGGGGTCCCTATGAATATTAAGTCCTAGTTTGATAGAGATTAAAATAAGATTTTTAGCAAATTTTGATAAAAGTTATAAAATGTGTGGTTAAAATTAATTGTTAACTTCGACTTAGAAAATAATTAAATACAATTAAAAAAAGAAGACTCCCATGCACTACTCTTTTGTCCTTACCATCACACAAAACTCTGATGAATCCAACAGCCGAAAAAAGTGAGAACAAGTCACCCAGAGACAAAACCTACCATTGTTTTGCATGCATTTACATGCATACATCCAGTACTGAGTGCAAAATGGTCCCCTTTATCCCCTCACCCAACCCAACCCACCCCAAATCTAGCCCGTTCTAAACCCTTAATGCTTCCCACTTTAACTACACTTTCTATTCCAACCAAAAATTCCCCCACCTACGGCGTGTTTGACATGGAAGGATAGACGATACTCAACATTTTTAAAGAGGAAAAATAATCTAAATATTGTTCATTACTGTCTAGACTCGAAAGTGTTGCATGATAAATGTGCATTAGTAAAAACCATCTACTAGTAATATATGCAAGTATGATTTCTTATGATTACTAATCACAATGGATCTATGATGAAAGGAAATCATCGAGTACTTCTAATTCCATTATTCCAACCATAATTTTCTAACTCCTTATGTTTGATAAGAAAGATTGAATCATTCTAGACAATAGACAACATGTATTGATTATGAAACGTGCAACGGTCTACTAAGATTTTCCATTTATTTTAAGCATAAAGGATCTTTCTTTGATAAAAGGAAATCAAGAAGTCCTATCTAGAGTTTCAGCTACCTTTCCCTTTCTCTGATCTTATTATTGACATAATCATAATTACTTTCTTGAACATTGAGAAATGTGCTCTTAACTTTTAGCTGCAACTGCACAGGACACCCTTGACTTATATCTTCTGCTAGACTGCTACCCTATGCCATTCTACGCTTCCTTTACTACCTTTGCTTTGCTATAAACACTAGCAAGAAAAGGCCCTCAGTTTGTAATCTCTCGTTCCTTCATGCAAATAACTCCATTTCAAATCAAAGGGTTTGATGAAAAGAAAACTGTTTAGGCTTAACCCAGTTCTTTAAACTTTCTTGGATTCACTATCTGTACTTGAAATCTTGTTATTTTTCTTGGGTTCAAGTACTTACTTTTGGCTCAGTAAAATCATCATGGAGGAGTTCAAATTTTGGTGTGTTTTTATCTTTGTTATATACACAATAAATTTGGGTGTTATGTGCAAGGGGGAAGATGAAAATGGAGTGGCTTCAATGAAGAGAACAGAGCAAGAAGCTTTGTATTCTGCTATTCAAGGTTTTGTGGGTAAATGGTGGAATGGTTCAGATCTTTATCCAGATCCTTGTGGTTGGACTCCCATACAGGTAAACATTGTTAAGCCCTTTTCTGTACTTTCAAGATTCTTGGTGTAAAAATGTAGATATTTACTTTTGTAGTTCTGTCAAATCTTAATATCAGAGAAAATACATTAAACAAAAAGTTACTCGATATCTACCTTACCAGTGTCATAAACACAAGAACTTCAGGTTTTTTTATTGCTCTTTCAGTACTTAGACTGGTTATAGCGTAAGCAGCAAATTATTTCATCGTTTGTTTTCTTATGGAATGTTCATTTTAGATAGTACCTCATTTCGCTGAGATTCTGCTGCCTATTTCTAGCTTTGGGATTTATGAAACACTGTGTCAAAACTGAACTGCAATTAGATGTACTCAATTGGTTATTACTTATTGACATTCTTACATTATTAATTTTTTTTTTTTTTTTTTTTTTTTTTTTTTTTAATTAAGTATGGTACAAAGAGTAAGACAGAGTTCAGATATATATGAATCAGAAGATTGACAATTAGATGCCCCATTACACAAACCAGTTGTCTACATGAGAACTTCGCTTACACTGAAGAAACAAACAATCAGCATGAAATCTAATAAAAGCTCAGGGCCATTGCATTGCAAAGCATCTACAAGAACAACAATCTAAACCGTAGTCCCAATAGCTCTAAGGGTGACGTAAATAGCTACTCTGTCCAATTCTAGAGTAGTGACACATCCAATGAAATCAAATCTTTTACACTATGAGGTTATGTTAATTTTGGTACCTCTCCCTTTGTATCCTTTCCTTTATCAGACCTGTAGTAGTAACTCTTGTAATTGAAAGCTTCTTTAGATCAACAAAACATGCCCTAATTATATAAATTGTTATTTCGGTAATTTATCTTCAAGGATTGTCACCTTCAATAGTTGGTTTGTTTTCTGATTTCTTTGTTTATCTATTCTACTAGCTACAGTTATGCATCTATCTTAAGATCCTCATTTTTGTTACATTTCACTCATGCACGATATGTCCTTCAAGAGTATAATGAAGCTTACGCCTCTACTGATCGAGGCGCAAGCCTCAGTGACTGAGAAGGACACTATTTATTGAAAGCTTAACTATTTTCATTGTTTGACCAGCTTCAGAAGTCCAGCTTGTGCTGGTTATTAATTGATCAGCCATAAATGATAATTAATTATAGATTATAACTAACCCACACATAAACACAGCATACACAAAGCATTCACACTGTAGAACTGTTCACCAGCAACTCACTTGGCAGCTTCAGGTTTCTTTTCTTTTTTCTTTTTTCTGATTTTGGTTTCTTCTCTTTATCCTATTTGTTTTTGTGGGGTTGCTTCTTCTCCTTTCTTCTTCCTTTTTACTTACTGCTTAGAAGAAAAACATGTGGAGCCTAGGATAGATACATGAATGCACTAAATAGATGATAGATTAATTGATTCTAAAATTAAATTTAATCATTATTGGAAAAAATAAAAGAGACTTGAGATGGAATTTGATATATATTGCAATTTTATATGTTTGTGGTTTAGGGTGAGACTCACGCCTCAAAGAACCTCTAGGCTTACAGCCTAGCATCACAAGTGAAATATGCTTTAGTGCCCTATTTGCCGTTTTAAAAACTGTGCAAAAGAGTTCTTTTAAAGTTCTAACTTACCATTCATCCCCTCCTAATTATACCAACTATAAGTCTATAACCATGTCAGCAGCGATTAACATACAACAAACGACCTTCTCTCATTATTAAAGTAAAATAATTAATACTCTAGACAGAACCTTGAAACAGGCCAATAACTGCCTCCACTAAATCTAACACTCATAACTAGTGCCTTACATAAATCCTTGATACTATTTAAATACTAAAACGAAATGCTATTTTTCTCTGCATCTCATGTGCATCGAATAAATACTAAATCTACACAATAAAAGTAAACTTACAACAGCATTAAAACAAAAGCTTACTTCCTTTCTGTAAAGTTCGGTTTCAGGTCTCTGTCAATGATGCCCCGAGTTAAACTCCTAGCCAGCTTTAGTTGCTTGTTCTCTGAGGGGTTACTTTTTCCCACTTCGGGATCCCAAACTGTGACCAGTTCATTAGTGGAAGCTATAGGAGATGGTATTAGGAAATTTGCTCCTGATTCCTAAATATCAAGTGATTTTGATTTTTAATTCTGGATGTATCAAATCTAGCAATTAGAAAAGGAAAATATAATTCCTATTTCAATAACAATTCAGTTACAGACTCAACATATGATATTGTCCACAATGCAAAAGAAGTTTCACAATATATTTATCGCGAGAACATAGAACAGATATCAACAATAGATATATAAAATTATGACTCAATCAAATTATAGTTGCCAAAGCAGATTCGTATAAGAGTCTCCAATATGCTTCAATAAAATCAAACTTGCACATACTTGGAGAAGGAATCATACACACTGCATTTAGCTTTAGCAAACTTCATAAAGCCATGACCTTTTAAAAAGTCAATACTGTCATTTCTAGTGGTAATGTCATCATGTACTATGCAATTATGGTCCACTCCATATGCTCAAACTTAGGAAAAACCAACTACAGAAAGGAGTTAAGCAACATTATAATACATCCAGTATACACAACTGCTAAAAAGCATGTACTCCATTCTACTATAGAGAACTAAAACTTTACAGGCCCAACACCCTCACTTTATTTACCCCATGTCAGAAAAGATAACCTATAAATATCTACCTATGAGGACTGTTAATTGATATTTTACTGAACAGTCAATTCATAAGAACAATATTCGTGCAAGAGAACAATTTGATGCACACTTTGAATGACCATATCTAGGGGAAGATCATAATATTGTGGCCATTATAATGATGCGATTTCTGGTAGTACTATCCACATGTTTCATGAGAAATCAAATTACTCTAGTCTATTAAATTTGGAAAAAAAAATATCAAATAATTCATCAATTTTAATTATAAAGGATAAACATAGAAAAAAAAATGTAAGAACAAAATAAGGTTCTCCAAACTCGCTGAAGCAGTATATTAATATATTCTTTTCTGATTGAATTTTAGCACTCTAACATTAGTTTCGATTTAGATAAGATATGAAGTAATATGATTGCTCAGAACTACACAAACTCCCTGGAGCCTACGTAATTTTCAGAGTCTCAAGAAGATAAAATGTAATGCAAACACATAAAGAAGTACCTGGAACGCCACTCGATGTTCAAAACCGCAGAAATCAACAATAATATATACATGAGAACTTCCATTTTTAATATTCTCACACTCCTTGATTTTCTCAATAGCTTTGAATGCAAGACGATCAAGCCAATCAATTCTTTGAATCTGCCCCCTCTCATACTTATTTTGTAGCTTTTCTAGACGTTCCAGCTCCCCCCGCTCCTCCTTTGGAACCTATCACAAACCACCAATGAACAATCAATTCATTTTAGTATATTTTGCTTCATAATTATGGGGCTTTCAAATTGGAATTATTAAAATAATTTTGATCCCATTACTCATCCCAATTTCATCCTCCATATGTAGCATGAGACAGTCCACTCAATGGAATTTTATATACAAAAACAAAAACACACCTTTCCAGGAGTGGTTGTATTGATAGAACCATCCGCTTCTTTCCCTGACCAAAGTCTAAGCTTGTGCTTACCAGTCTTGAGCTGTTTTTTCATGTTAAACAGATGAATGGTCGCCCCACCAACCACTTCGTCACTTTTACCACGTGAAACGTCATAAACCTACATTCACACATCATCATCAACATAAAATGGAAGTTTATCAAAGAGAAATTTACATGATTTTATATAACAAATAAAAGCCTAGCTCTCATAATTTCAATACAGAATATACAAGGAGATTATTTACAAAAATAATAAGCAGATTCCAAAAATATGATGTATGACTTACAGTGACCGCGAGTTGTGAATTTGCAGTCAAATCACGATATTTAGTACTTAATGTAATTAGTTCGTTCCAACAATATGATAGACCTAAAGATTCCAGCCTGCGTTTATGAGATTTTCACGAAATATTAATCAAGCCCAGATTTAAAAAATTAAAAAAAAAATTGCAAAATTGTAATAATAAAATCAACTGACATAATATGAAAACTGAACCTTGTTCTCATGGGAAGACCAAAAGGTGCGCCATCAATGTACAACAAGCACTCGACGAACAACTCCGGTCTTCTCTCCTCTGAAGTAGAATCAATTTCATCTGAATAATACAAACACAAATATTGTGATTAAGAATTCAATTTACACCTCCCTGAAAATAACACATTTTTACATTATAAACAGTAAGCTCCAACATAAAAGGCATAAATAAATTAACTTTTTCCACGATGACCTGAATTAAGGGGCTTTTGCGGCGGTAATTTGCCTTCTAATCTTTCAATTCGGAAAGTGACGGGGAGATTGATGTCACAGGATAAAAAGAATCGGAACTCGTTTCCACTCATTCTGGCTTATCCAATAATTTGAATTTCTACATGAAGATCAGAGTTCAGAAATTGAAAAGTGGAAAAGTTGTTGCTTGAACTTGCACGATTGCAGTTCCCCCTTATGAATAACTGTACTGGGTTTTGTGATGTCCAGCTGCTCACCGCAAACAGTACTCATTTTACTGAAGTCGTTAGTAAATAAAAAGCGACTTCAGATCAAATTGGAGGATACTGGAGGGAATAAGACAGAAGAGGGAGGAACGGGGCCCAGGACCACTGATCTTGGGACGACCCGATCCGTTAAAAACTGGACCGAACTTCGACTTATTATGGAGGGTTGAATCTCATTGGCTCATTTAGGCTCAATTTGTTGTCCTTTAATAAAATAAATTGTTTTTTATGGTAACATTTTTTACCACATATTCATAAAATAAAATATCTACATATAAATCAATAAAAAAATTTAAATTTTAACCACACATTCTTCGAAAACTACTATTCACTACTATTCAAAACTCTATATTTTCTTCTAAAATGGGAGACAAACAAACTCTTAATTTTTCATGAGCATTAAATGGGTGCACTAAATAAATTTAAGTGAAAATCTGTTGTAAAATTTATCCTAACTTTCAATTTATATCAATAAAAGTTCCTAACCTTTCAAAAATATACAATTGGGGATCAAAATGAAATCCCCCATTTGATCATTAGTTGACTAACAAAAGTGGACTCTGACTAATTTTTACCAAATTAAAATAAGTAAAATAGTAACTTTTGCAATTTTATACATAAAATAATTTAAAAAACAGGAAATAAAATAAAACAAAATAAAAATAAAATAAAATAAACCATTAGCATCGCCACCCATCGGTCGGTAGCACCGTCGGCACAACCTCCCCGCCACCGACACCACTATCGACACAGCCTCCCCACCATTACCACAACCACCATCAAATACCACATCTAAATCTTAGCACCATCACTGTAGAATCCACACAGCAAAGCCACCAAAAAAACTGCCATCACCTAACCACCATCACCTTCATTTGCACCATGATCAACTACCTTTGTCATCTTGTTCCTTCCATAGACCGCCACCATCTTGACACATATTTGCACAACCATCATTACTTTTCCCATTCACCACCAAGCACCAACACCACAGAAAACTCAAATCTAAAACAAGACTCCAATTTCACAAAACATGCAAAAGAAAGATGAATTTTTCTATAGAGGTTGCCCCCAAAGACAGAGATGAAAAGATGTAGGTCTAAAGTGAAGAAGAAAATGACAAATATAAAAATGTGCATCGATTGTTTGTCTTGTTTTTGTTGAAATACCATCATCAGATTGGACATTTGGATTGTGGGAGTCAACCGATGAGAGTTCGCAATGGTGGGTGTGATCATGGGAGGAGTTGCCAGCAATTTTTTTAAGTTCGCGGGTTGGGGGTTTTGGGTGGCTATTCCGGCAACATTTTGTGGAGTTAGGTATGGTGGTTAGGTGGGATGTGTAGAGAAGAATGAGGGCTTCCAGTGATGTGTGGGTCCAAAAGGGTGGAGATTGCCCACTTAATAGGGTAATTACGTCAGGTACGAGGGTGAAAATTTCAATCTTGAGACGTTACGGGTAACAAGGGCCCCTCCCCATTAATTTTTGAAAATTTTAATACTTTCAATGGAAAAACTCTCCAAAATTTCATTAATTCTAATAGAATATAACAATTAAGATTATCTAAGGAATATGATAAACAATAAGAACCTTAATTTACCAAATATATTCGAATAATTTAACTCTTAAAATTAAATTAATTAATTAATTAATTAAAAATTTTAATAAATATATTTGTTGTTTCGCTTAAATGAATGGATGTAATAAAATGAATAATCAAAAACCATAAAAAAAATTTAAACGGGTACGCAAAAGGGACAATCGCCCGCTCCATCTTAAACGGATAACGGGGTGGGTACGAGGTGAGAAAATACCCTGAATCTAAGGAAATTTAGGCATAAAATTGAAATAAACTTCTCTTCAAAATCAGAATTTGACATGTGCAAAAGTCGAAAATAAATTCGTAGTGATATTACATGTTCTCAATTGATTGAGGATTTGACCTATAAGTAAAATGACAAAATTTGTTCTTTGGTGTTTAAAAGTTGGAGATTTGTACTCGTGGAAGGCCCAAATATGAAAATTTGAAAAGGACAACTTACAATCATACTACAATGTCAAAATACTTGACATAATGATTGACATAATGTCAAGTGTCACTCTATTATTAGATTGTTTAAAATCAAGTCATCTTTTCCATTGAATCACTTCCCAACATCTATGATTTTGGCACCGCTTCTAATAGTTTTCTTCTAGCAAAGTAGCATTATTCAGCAACTTAAGCCCTTGTTGGGCTCGAAAAGGGTAATAAAAAAGGTTTAGGAAAGGAAATTTATTTTCTACTATTTATTTACAATGCATTCTATTTTTTAATTTTCTTATTCTTGGGCAGTAATGAGCATAATTTACCCTTTTCTAAAAAATGCTAAACAATGAATTTTAAAATAGTGGAAATTTCCACAGGCCCATTTTTAAAGTTTACATTTCATATTTCAAATTTCAAGTTATAATTAGGGAAAATTGCGGTCGAGGTACCAAACTTTTCGTTTATTAGCAGATTTTGCCCAAACCTTTCATTTGTGCCACTGGAGATACCAAACCTTTCAAAAATCCGCACCTGAAGTCCAAATGGATGAAAACCGTCCGTTTGACCGTTAGTTGACCAAGAAAAGTAAATTTTGACCTATTTTGACTAAATTGGAATGGGTAAAATAGTAACTTGATAATTTACAATATTAAATAAATTGAAAAAAACTTAAAAAATTCAAGAAAAATTAAAAAAAGAAATTAAAAAAGTAAAAATTGTTGTGATAAGAGAGAAAAGAGATTGTAGTTTTTGTTGTGAGAAAAATATTGTAGAATGAGAGGTATTTGTTAAAAAATAAAAAATAAAAAATAAAAAATACCATTTTCAAACTGTCACAAAAGCTTTAAAAAAGTGACCAAACGATCACTTTTTCATTTTAGTCATTGTACTTGACGAGCCACGAACTTGGCTTGTAGCTCGCCAAGCCAAGCTTGTGGGCATGAGCTAATCGTCTATGTGATGAGCTGAGCCGCTTCGACTAAGCTTGTGCAAGGACATGCCCGAGTAACCCATAAGCTATCCTTTTACGAGCAAGGGGGTTGAGCCGACGAGCTACTCTGCACATTTGCCACCTCTAAACTCATCCTATCCACCTCATCCCCACGCACCTCCCACTCATTAAAAATTGTGACCTATCTCTTGTTCATCTTTCTCTTTCTATCTCTTACATCGAAAAATCGACCACCGTTAACCCTTCCATTCTATTTCTTTCTTTAAAACCAGCAGTAGCGGCTATGGTTTTGGGGTTGTTTATTCCTCCTCTGATTTGCTTAGTCGAATATTTTGGATGGTTTTTATTGGTAGTTTACAAATAGTCATGGTTGTGGTTTCTTCCTTCTTTCAATCTGATCCGATCTGCTTAGCTAGAGTTTTGGCATAGTTTTTGTTGGTGGTAGCGGTGTAGGTGGTGAGGTGTTGCGGCATTAGGCTGGTTCCAATGTTGAAGGGGAAATGGGAAAGCGTTGGGTGAGTGATTATGATCAATAAAATAGTTAATTTGTGATAATAAAAAAATATGTGATCGATAAAATATATAATTTGTGTCCAATAAATAATATGTAACCTAAAAAAGTGAGACTGTGACCAAATTTGTGATTATGACTCACAATTTAAAGTTGTGACCAATTAATTTTTTGATAATTTTTGACTGAAAAATAAGTTACGACATATAAAATTGGTTATTTGTGATTGAAAAGAATATGAACTATTAATTTAATAATTTGTGACCAATAAAATTTGTGATTTGTGATCAAGAAATAATGCTTGACCAATTAATTTGATAATTCATGATCATTACGACCTATAAAATTTATGATTGTGATTAAACACTTTAATCTAGAGATTGTATTTTTTTCAAACACTTTAGATATGTATTGTTCCCTTCAAAATACTTGTCTCACTTAATATAACTTTATCATTATGCCCTTGTTTGAGCTTCATTTTTGTCATAAAAATGCATTTTTAAATAGTGTATTGATGTAAAATGTGTTCCCACGTCTCCTACCTTCGTACTGCAAGCCAGCCTTGAACTTTAAGTCGAACTCCCCTCACTGCTGGGATTAAAAAATAGAGAAAAGTTTTGGTTTTACGTGTCATATTATTTTATTGAAAAATGTGTGGTTAAAATGATATCAAAACACTGTTTAAGAATATATTTTTTTTCCCGAAGAATGAGGCTCAAACAAGGGCTAAGTATATGACCACATATGAATTATTTATTTTATTTCTTGATTCAACCCTTCTATCCTTGATCCATTATTTTTCCGGGTCAATGTTTGAAAACATAACAATTTATGAGGATTGATCCAATCTCGTTGATTTATTGAAGAAAAAAAATTAATTTAAATTTGCCCTTCACCTCCTAACTCCCTCTAGGCCTCTCGCTGTCTCAATTTTTCATATTATTGTTATTTTTCCTTTTGATTAAATAAATTTCTAAGTGTTACTTACATTCTATTATTAATTAGATGTGTAGTAAAGTGGATATTAACTAGTGTATATTTGATATAGTTTAAATTATAATTATGCGGATCAAACATGATTTTTGTATACTCATTTGATAGGATTCACAATTACTGTCACCTTATTAACCGTACATTTTGTAAGATTCATTACTTATAACTACTTAAATTCAAACACTCCAATCATGTTATTAGTTAAGATATAATTAATTTTATAGTAATTTGTATATAAAATGCCTTTTATATTTTTATAAAACAATCTAATTGCATAATTTGCGAAAACATCAATGTACGATACACTAGGCTAGGGAAAAGCCAACTCTCCAAATGTGGGGTGAGAAGCCTAAAATCTCTTATCCATCTCTGAATGGATTTTTCAGAAAAGGAAAAATAAAACAACAATGAAAATATTTATCTTCTTCTTTTAATTATGGTTGGATTTTAAATTGTATAATATAAAACAATTAGTTGACCAGATCAGAACGATGCGATCCATAAATTTGGAAGACAATTCAAGCTAACCCTCAAAGGTATTTCTAAATTTTCAAAGTTAGAAAATAAGAAGTGGGAATTACAGTTATCCCTAGTTTTCAAACTCTAATTCAAAGTTAAGATTTCAAGTTTTATAATTCAAAAATCAGATAACAATACATTTTTAAAATATTAATAATAAAGTTATAAAAAATTTTTTAAAAAAAATCACAAACTCTCTCTCTCTCTCTCTCTCTCTCTCTCTCTCTCTCTCTCTCTCTCTCCCTCTCTGAATCACTCCCCCGTTCACTCTCTTTTATCCCCTTCTCCATCTTTCTCCGGCGGTAGGACCACCTTGTGACGACATTGATTCGTCATCACAGGGTGCTTTTGCGCTCGTCCCTCTACTTCTTCTTGTTGGAGTCATCTTCACAAATGACATAGTTTGTTTTTAGGGATTTTTTTTTGTCTGCTTCATCGCCGCACCACCCTGTGGTTGTGGTGTGATGGATTTGTGGTGGCGTGACGACATGGTGAATTTGTGGTTGCGATGTGGTGGATTTCGTGGATTTGTGGTTGTGGTGGATTTGTGAAGGTTTGGAGGTTGGTCTGCTATGGATGCAGCATCGTCGCACCACTGTTGCGGTTGTGGTGTGGTGGACTTGTGAAGGTCGCGACGGAATGGTTAATTTGTGGTTGTGGTGTGGTGGATTTGTGAAAGTTTGGTGGTTGGTCTAATGTGGATTGTGGAGTCGTGTTGGTGGCAATTGTTTGGGGATTTTTTTGGTGGGAGATGGTGGTAGTGGTGTGGTGGAGATGGATACAGAGGAAATGGTTTGTAGCGGTGATAGTGGTGGGGCGACGGCAACTGTGATGGTGAGATGTGGTGGCAATGATTGCGGCGGTGGCAGCGGCAACATTGGTATGGTCGTGACTGTGGCTATGATAATTTTGAATCTAATTTTTTGGCGATGTTTTAGCGGTGTGGTTGTGATGTTGGTTGCGATGTTGGGATGTTGGCGACACTAGTGATCTGGCGGTGGTGCGGGTGATTGTGGTTGGTACAGTGGTTTTTAACCAATTATTAATACGTGACCTAAATAATATGATCACAGATTATTTGGTTGATTGGAACTAGTGAATTGGTTAATTTGTGACCAATGAAAAATATAAATTGCGACAAGAAATAATGTGTGACCTAAAAAATTAATAATTTGTGACTGTATAATAAGTTGTGACATATAATATTAGTTATATGTGACCTACGAATTTTTTTATTCGTGACCGAAAAATGATTTGTGGCCTATAAAATTTTTTATTTGTGATCGAAAAATAAGTTGTGACTAATTAATTTTTGATTTGTAACCGATGAACAAATTGTGAGCTACAAAGTTTTTGAATTGTGATCATAAAATAATTTGTAATATGAAATTTCTGATTTGTGATCAAAAAATAATAAGTGACTAATTAAATTGTTAATTTGTGACCAAATTGTATAGATATGTGACATAAATATATTTAATTAATTAATAAAATCATAAATTAAAAAAATTGATTTTCAAAATTTGAAACTTGTTTTCTTAATTTTAAAATATGTCATACTTAGCCCCCGTTTGGCTCATATTTTGTTTCTCTCTCTCTTATTTTCAATCACACAATCTTCCATAAAATAATATTACACATAAATCGAAAAATTTTCCTTCTCTTTTAACCGCTTATTTTTCAAAAAAAATAAAAATATTCCACCTATTTTCATTTCTAGAAAATGCGGGTCAAACGGTTATTTAATCTCTTATGAAATTTTCCCAAATAAGAATTCAAGCAGATCGGCCCAGCTTGTATATTGATGGTGCTGGCTTTTTTATTATATACATGGCTGCTCAATAAAAATAAAGGAAAACTCAAATGCAAGTATTTTTGAAGAGAGATTTCTCATTCCATGTTTAACTTTGTGTATTCATAATCTTATTCACAATTTTCTGAAGCATTATAGTGTACACCTAGAAGTTTATATAAGAGTTGGGTTTCAGATTTATTTTTAAACGATTTAATCATTTTTTAATTTCTAGCTTATTTTCACCGATAACTTCATATCGAAGACGAGTTCAACATTCATTGCTACACTCTTTGGACTTGGCAGTTGGCTATTAAGATAATTTCCAATAGTGGTGTAAACTTGTACCTTTAAAATTACTTTTATATCCCCATTTACATCCCAATGGATCTAAATTTAAATTTCAATTCAACGAAAAGATCTAAATCCACTTTTGCCTCTTGTAACATTTTTTTTTTAAACATTTTTAGTCAGAAAATGCAATTTGCATCTCTCCATTGGAGAGATTTTCGACTACTTTGAAGATTTAAATCACAATTTAAATCTTATCTTACACTATAATTAGAGATGCTCTAACAACGCAAAAATTGATGCTCTCACAAAACCAAAATTCATGTAATCACAATGAACGATAATCATAATAACAATAATTTGTATAATCTAAAATTAGTAAAAATCATTCATATTTCTTCTAGCTAATGGTGTGAAAAGGGGTCAGCTGCTATCTCATACATGCCGACCACACATAGACACACCAAAATACACTTTACGTGTTTAGTAAGGCAACTTAAACTGGACTCAATTGTACTCTAGTCTCTAGTATGTTGTACTTTTTAATAAAATCTAATACTGCCTACTAAACAACTAAATTCAGTGTACTTAACATATGTCGCTATCTCCATGAATCTTATTGTTGGATGGCTTTCCAATTTGTAAACATTGAATGGGAGGAATTGTAGGAGTGTAGAGCTCTCCAAAAGTCTGCCAACAATATGGAGCATACATATGGTAGCGTTCTTGCAATGGTTGCAGTTTTATGTTTGTAAGGGTGACATCAGTACATGGCATGCTGTCACTGCAAGCAAAATGAACGGGTTTTACGGTATACGTTCCTCGTATATTTTCGTAGTTGATCCCAGATACTGCCACTGACGCAGTTTGGTTGGTGCATATTCTTTTATCGCAATAGTATTGATCGATTACGATTGGTAGTTTTACTTCAGAAACTTGGATATTTGAAAATAACACTCCTTGCACTGATCCTGATCCGCCCTGTATGTGTGTCTCAAAATTTTAGTTTCTTAGATGAAGTAATCATATGAGCCTCGTATGAAAATTATACGCATAAGATATATAAAGACATAGATCGACGACATGTACCTGCCATGTTTTTATCCGAACACCATTCGTTGTGTTATGCATAACGATGTCTCGGACAGTAATATTTGAAACACACGCTTTGGTGTTATCTTTTCCTAATCCTCCGATGCTGATCCCGTGTCCTGGTCCACAGTTAACGTTATGTATGTAAACATTTGTGCATCCAGTTTGTATAGATATACAGTCATCCCCTGCACATAACATTTTCACTTGTAAAAAAAAATTTAAGTAAAATGTCACATAAATAAGTAAATCTGAAAATAATTGACTAAAGGGGAAAGTTCATAATTCCTTTCTGCAATTTAGGCCATTGGATTTAACTGTGTGTTAAATGGGGCCTCAAGATTGTAAGCACATGGGTGATTGACATGTGTCAAAATTCAGTGGTCATATGATGATATAACTGCACTGGATGATTGTGTTTCATATAGTCTAACATGAAAGAATTATCGGACAGACAATCAGCCAATAGGGGCTGCCACAATGCTCCCCAGGATTGGCCCTATCCATCAAGCAAAACTCAACACGAAATAGACAAAAAAAAAAAAAAAAAAAAAAGGGAATGTAGGTCTTTACCACAAGCAAGGTTGGAACTGCGAATAAACACATCTTTCGAGTTCTGCAAGTGAATTCCGTCTGTGTTCGGGCTATCACCCGGAGAAGAAACGCTGAAATCGTACACCAATACTCCAACGCAATTATCGAACTTGAGGTGACACTGAGGACTGTTCTGAATATTGATGCCAGTTACGGTTACGTTAAAGCTTCCGTAGAACCTCAATGCCTGTGTTGATCGAGTACAATCAATTCACCGTTAATTTCATATTAAACCGATTCTTGAATGCTCAATTTTGACATGTAGTAATGAATGCTAAAAGTGTTCCTTACCGTCGGTTTGAGTCTTGGCATATTCCCACCGAGCGAGCCTCTCAACTGCCACAAAAAGTTTTTACAAAACATAGAACAAGATCAGATGATGGATAAGCTATAAATAAGAGAACAAAGCTTATGACAAAAAAAGGAGAAATTATTACAGGAACTGGATGATTTTGTGGCAATGTACTATTTAATGGTACAATTAATTTTGATTCATCATCTAAGGGATCATCATAAGAGGAATCTTGCCACCAAACTGCACCATTTCCATCTATTGTGCCACTTCCTTGGATTGTAAGTCCGACGAGTTTTGAAAATTGGAGCCATTGTAGAAGGCCCGAGCCCCATTGTTTCGAGGCTTTTGGAGCGATAATTGTACCATCTAACTGTACAAGATTAAGTCCAACCCATCAGTGTTCGACCGAACGCTAAACGTGGATAAATTTAAAGGAATCGAAGGAGGAGCAGTGTGAGCTGAAAATCTTGACTATCGTTTATGATTGTATTTACCTGGAAAACAATGTTATGCTGACAATATGGACCAGAGAATGATATGGGTCCCACCAAGAATACATATTCTGATGGAACGTCCACCGTTGATGCCTCTACTTTACAGGCAGCAGTCCATGCATCTTGGAATGCCTGAATTCCACAGCAGAAATTGAATCTTAATTTTCTCAATTGGGACTATAGTAAAGTTTTAACATTAATTAAACAGTTGTTAGTTTGTGCAGAACAGTTTCCTATTACTGTTGAATTTAAGATTAAACTGTCATAACAAAAATCATTTGAGTGGGCCCCTCCTTCAATTGTTTGTCAAGTTTCATTTGTCCCTATTTTAAATGTAAAATTGTTTTTTTTTTAAATGTAAATACAGCTGGAAATATGTCACAATTACCTTTCTTTAAGTACAATTTTTAAGGATGTCTCACTATTGTAAGAACTGCATGATTCCTTATTGTAGAGGATCCCCTGCTGTTTAAAACAATGTACACTCTCTAAGAATTTTGATCATCAGATGAAACAAATGAAGACAGTTGTAGGAAATTTTTGCAAGTTGCAACATCCCTTCTTATGAACTTTTTTGGGTCGAGTCGGGTCGGGGACAAAATTTACTATGTCCAAGTCTTTTTATCATTAATTTATAAAATTGTAAAGACATAAATCGAATTTGACCAATTCGACAACTTAAAGTTCTTTAACGTGGTAGTTCAACAAGTCGACCCTATGGAAAATGATTAAAAAAGTGAAAATGATTCAACTTATTGCTCAATTATGAAATTTTCTAAAAAGGCACAACAGGGAAAAGTTGGATTCTACTTGCATTGCAATTCACAAAATATAATTAACAATTTCAAGAAGCAATTTTTTTTTTTTTTTTAAGTTTAATTAATTAAGTACCTTAGTATCATCTGTTCTTCCATCTCCCTTGGCTCCAAAATCTAACACATTGAAGACAGTGGAAGATGCTGGAGCTGGAGTGTCTCGACCTTTCTTCGGCGGCATTGTCGGCGGAGCTGGTGACGGCGGTAGTGGTGGTGGTAGTTTAGGAGTTTTCTGTTTTGACTTTCCCCCACCATTGTGGTGGTTACTGCCGTGATTATTCCCTTTCTTCTTTGACAGAGAAGCGAAATGGCTTCGTCTTTGCCTCCAATGCTTGCCTACTCTTCTTGCATTGGAAATTTCAATATTGGAACACCAAACAAGAATAACAACAATAAGAAGGAATGTGAAGTTTTTGAAGCTAAAACCACCCATGTTAGAGAGAGTGGCAGCGGTGACGCGGGCGATGGAGGGGAGTGGTGGTGGTGTTTTTTCTTTATAATAAGATGGGCAACAGGAGGAATGTGGAGGTTTATATAGCAAGGATGGTAGTGAAATTGTGTAAGACATGAACAAATTGTAAGATAGTAAATTAATAATATTTCATTCTGCATTAATTCTGTTTTATTAATTGCTTTGCTTTTTGCTTTTTATTTTTCTTTTGGTATTTAACTAACTGGTCCACACAATTTTACACATTGCTAGCGGGTGGGTGTCTTAATCCCAACTTCGTGGTTATTTTGGGTACTCATTTAAAAAAATAATAATAAAAAAAAAAAATTCGTTTAAAATTGTAATTAGATTATCAAAGTTACTCAACTTTTAGGGCGATTTAGTCGGTCCACACTTTTCCACCAAACAGGATGAGACGTTGTATAGAAAAGTGCTAGGCCTGACACGAGCCAAGCTTGTCATCGAGCCCAACAACTTATTTATTATTATTATTTTTCATTTTCTAATTAAATTCTAATAAGTAATTATTTTGGTTTATCATAACAAATTACCGAGCAACAAAGGTGGTTTAAAATAAAAATATAGCATAAAAAACAGATGTAATGTTTTAATGGTATATAGAATTGTATTTTTTATTTTTTATTTTGCTTTTAATAGTATTCGTGTAATTTCTTTCAATCCTTCCGTATATCTGTACCCGAATCTTTTTATTTTTAATTTATTAATTAATGTGTAATGATTAGTAAATAATTAATTTCTAATAAGAGTATTTGTTATTTTCATTAATTATTTCAAGTAGAAAGAAGTCTAAAAGACACGTGAGTGGGTATAGATAAGTTGTCAATTGCACTGATTAGAACAGCTCTTTATGGTCACATGCAAAGTTCACGGACTTCATATTTGTATGTAATTTGTCTTCTTAACTAGCAAAACTCACAACCCCTTTAATTCTTATGTGTTAGTCACATAATTAGGAGTAAGTTTAAAAATAAATGAAATATTTTTTTTGACAACTATAATACGAGAGATCATGATCGTCTTCTTGTCAATTTGCAAGCTAAAAAAAAGAAGTATACTATATAATCCACGACTCAAGAACATCAAATTTTAGGTGGGCTGTTGAGTTTATAGAATTGAACATTTTTTTGTTCAGTTGAGTTTTACAGCACGTGGAAATGTACTTTCATTCTCCGTAGACTACTCGTCTATGCATTTGGCTTCAATTTAAAACATTTTAGCTTCTTCTTTTTCTTTTTTATTATTTTGTTTATATTTTTCCCTATTTTTGAATATGAAAATAGAATCGAAATGAACATGTAAAGGGACGTGTTGAATATGAACTTTTCTATATAAATATTTTTTTCGGTTATCCATTACATATTCATAACCTAAATAAATAAATAAAAAATAAAAAAATAAAAAAATGGATAAATTAGTAATGCTAAAACCATTAATTGGGGAAATTAGTGGAAGGAAAACTCTTTCACGCCCATGGTTTCACTATCTTTTACGAAGGTGTGTTTGTCTTTTGGTACTAAAAAAAAACATATGTGCAAAGTACAATAATGATAATGTTTGAAGCCCTTTTGGATTAATGCCTTGAAGATGAATTATGCTTACACTAATTACGAGAATATATAAATAGACAAATGTGTCTCCATCAGTATATCTGTTGGGCAAAATTCACAGATATGCTACTGTTTGTGAACCACATCTCATTTTCTTCAATTCCTTGGAACTTTTACCTCTGCTGACACTATCCTTCAAAACATGTCAACTTTCACATGCAGAGATCGTATATTTTTACCATATATTCAGGTAAATTGGGAGAATTATATATTGTTTAATAATAAAACAAAAAGCGAAATGAAAATAAACCAAGCAGTGTGATTGAGAAAAATAAGGAAACTGTAAGATACATTGGATTTGAACCTCAAAAATAAAAATGATATATATGATTTCAGTTTATTTTGATTTCTATTGAAATCAATTTAACAAATCTTGTCAATATCTTGTCTATCTCATGAGCCTACAATCCATTGTTAGTTCACATTGTTTAGCATAGTGATATTACAATGCTATAGAATTGATCTCCTAACCATCCATAGTGGTAGGATAAAAATTTCTGACTATTGATGTGACAAGAGAAAATTAATTATAGTTTTCTAAATTTATGACCAGCTCAGAGAATCATAACTAAGCCCCTGTTTGACCACCATTATTTCATTTTTTTTATATTTTATATATTCATTTTCAACCATACGTTTATATAATAAAATATTATGTACGTAAATTCAAAAAAATTTCCTAATTTTTAACAACACATTTGCCAAAACTTTTATTTTACCAAATAATGGTCATAAAACAAGAGCTAAGATTCTCTTATCACATCAGTCGTGAGAAGCTTTTATTCTGCCCATTAGGGCTGGAGATCGGGGCTATACAATGTTAATACAATTAACTATACTCGGTATGTAAGTGTTATTATCTATATCAAATTGATTTTGAACGTAAATACTTTTAATATGATTAATGTATTTTATTCATGATGGATCTATTATTTGAATTGTTATTATGACAGATTAAAATAGGAAAGTCCGTAGATTCAAGTATTGATAACTTATTAATCATAAGATATTGTGATTATGAGATACAAATTACATATCACTGTATCTTAAATTATCCATAATCGTAAGTATTAACGATACAAATTTTTTTATTGCAAATTGACCAACACGTGTGACATTTCTGACTTACGAAGTGAGTAACTAATCTCAGAGCGAAGAAAATATTGCATTGTAAGGTTTTCTCAGCTAATAAACTTTTCTTCTTATGTGGTCGTCGATGGTTTGTTGAAATTCGTTTAATTTGTATTTCTCTTTCTAGCTCATTTTTCGTTTTTGTTCCACTATGTCTTTTTTTGTTTTTTTTTATTAACCAACAAGTGATATCAGAACTCATGGATTGAATTGCGCTAAAGATGATGGCAAATTCATAAACTTTGAGATGGAGCTATGGTGGTGATGGAGTCATGCAAGAGGGTATAACCATTGTTGATCGAGTTACATTGATTGAATGACACTGATGTGAAGTAGTGGTAACTGAGTTACATAGGTGTGGAGTTATTGTAATTAAGTCACGCATAATATGGTCTTCCACTGTTGTTATAGATTGTGAAAAGTGTCAAAGACAAGTTATATGACCATTAACAAGGCAACTGAAAATTATAGAATGAAGAAGTCAAATTATAAAGTCAGGTTTGTTGAGCTTTGAATTTTCTTTTGCGTATTACTATTGATTAAAAATTGTGGCATCGAGGAGCAAAGGAGTATGATGATGAGTATCGAAGTGTGCTATGATAGGAAAATTTTGGTTCAATGTGAAGATTGTTGGGTTAGACCCAAATTAATCTATTAAACAAATAATTTTGATATGGAAAGAAAATTAGAATTTTTGACAACAAAAAGGAAAATAATATTATGGAAAAAGTCTTATGGTAGAAGAAAATAATATTTGAATAGGAAAAGGAAACTTATCAAAAGAGTTCAAGTATTTTTTCTATAAATCCGTGGCATTTCATTAAGAGTTATTGTGCTTGGCACTAAGGTAATATAAATTCAGGTAGAGAATTTCGTGCATCCAAAATAATAAGATTTTAGAGAGAGAAACTAGAGAAAAAGGGTATGCGCAGGTTCGCATCATACATTGCGTTCTAGTTTTTTGTAGGGATAAGTAGGGAAAGTGAAGAAAATGTTGCATTGTGAAGTTTTATTAGCTAATAAATTTTTCTTTTCCTGTGATCGTCGATAGTTTATCGAACTACATTTAATTAATATATATATTTTTTATCTTTCTAACTTGTTTTTTTTTTTTCGTGTTTTTCATTTTTGTTCTGCTAATTTAGGTGACATTTTTTCCCAATTCCCAAACACGCTCTTAGTTCTACCTAATAATCAATAAATTTGCACAAAGTTTTAACAGGTCAATTCCCTAAATGGTCACTGAACTTTTTTCAAAGTTCCCACGGGATTACTAAATTTAAAAACTGTCCCCATTAGTTATTTAACTTGGAAAATTGATACCTCATTCATCTCCGTTGTTTACACAACGCTTGAAAATTGGTAGAATTTAATGACAATGAGCATGAATCTACAAGTATGGGAGACCATTTTTTATTCACAATCCCATGCATATTTGAGTTTTTTAATGACCGTTGAATGCACGGTTTTATCCAAATGTAGGCCTTTTCAAAATCCAAATTTCACAAAATTTATGAGCTAGATTATTATAGTTTCTAACTAATTATAGCATGATTTATGTAAAAATCTGATTCATAGTATCCGAATGCATGCCATGTTAGCACGGTTTTATCCAAATGTAGGCCTTTTCAAAATCCAAATTTCACAAAATTTATGAGCTAGATTATTATAGTTTCTAACTAATTATAGCATGATTTATGTAAAAATCTGATTCATAGTATCCGAATGCATGCCATGTTAGCCATACCGTTAGACATGTCATCAAATTCTTTTGCTAGCGCCGTTTACGCAGTGATGGTACCAATTTTCAAAGTTAGGTGACTAATGGGAGTAATTTTTAAGTTCATTGTGGGAACTTTAACAAAAGTTTAGTGACCATTTAAGAAAACATGCTCTTAGTTTACCTAATAATCAATATAGATTTGCATAAAATTTAACAGATGTACAGCTATGAGTTTGAATATATCTTAGTATGCTTATCTGTCCTTCAAATACCTACTACTTGTTCTGTTCCTCCTTATATACATTTCACATTTATACTTCTCCCATACTTGAGGACATATACAATCTTTAAACACAGAAATAAAAATAATTATCGGTTTTAGTATATTCAGTTATTATTCTCCAATATCTATAATATATTAAATATCACATGAAGGGAGAATCATTTTTTGGACGATTCTAGCCCTATTACAATTCAATTATTTCGATAATACATTCTTTTCATTTTTCAATATGTGTTTAATTGCATGTTAATTATTATACATGCG